GTCAGGGGACAGGTAGGGTCGTAGGGGGGGCAGTGAGTGTGGGGGGTTCTCAGGTCGGGGCAGTCAGGGGACAGGTAGGGTCGTAGGGGGGGCAGTGAGTGTGGGGGGTTCTCAGGAGAGGGCAGTCAGGGGACAAGAAGCAGGGAGGCTTAGATAGGGGGTGGGCTAGGGGGCGGTTAGTGGCAGGGGTCCCAGGAAGGGGCAGTCAGGGGACAAGGAGCGGGGGGGTGGGGGGAGGTTGAGGGTTTTGAGGGGGGCAATCAGGGGGTGGGAAGTGGGAGGGAGTGGATGGGGGCAAGGCAGGGGCGGGGCTCCTCCTCCCCGGTGTCCTCTTTTTTGCCTGTGGAAATATGGTAACCCTACTCTGAAAGGCCAAAGAGGAGAGCAGAGCTGGGCCTGGGGAAGTCTAGACTGTTAGGCCCAACCCGGGCTCTGATGCAAACAGTAACTCAGACCTCTGGGCATCTAGAAAAGCCGGCGGGATGGGACTGTCTAGTCATTTCATTCCATTATTGTTACAAATCCTCAGCTCTGCTTATGCCTCAACTACTTGCCCAAGTCCTCTCTCTCTCAGCCAAGCCTAGTAGCTTTTGTTATTTGAACCCATTGACGCAGCAGAGACCTCGCTTTACGAACACAGCGGATGCGTTGCTGGTCAGGCTTGGCTGGAAAAGAGCCTGACATGCCGAGAAGAGCCAGTGTAGTGTTTTGAGGGGTCTGTATGGCAGCAGGCAAACACCACGGGAATAGCAAGGCCCTGTTCAATGCTGGCACACTAGCCAGTGAGTTCTATGCAGAAACCCAGTCTCAGGACATAAATAACTTGCAAACACCTAACATCAGAACTGCAGAAAATGACCCTGCTGCCTCTTTCCCCTCTGAGCTCCATAGTGCGGATTTAATTGTGTTTATGAAAGGGAGGGGCATACATTCAGGTTGGAACAGGCCCCATTTAAACACCACCACTGCCATCTACTGGACAAAGTACAGAAGTGAATATAAAAACCAAGAACTTTGGTGGGGCAACGTCCCACCTTGAAGCGATTTATATGTGAAGTTTGAAATGTTACTCTCCCTGCCCTCCCCCTCACTAGGGACTCTCGGGGATACGCGAGTACTGCAAGCTCTTCCTCTGAATTCTCCATCCCCAACCATTATTAAACCAAGACTGGATGCTTTTCTAAAAGATTGGCTCTAGGAACTGTTTTGAGGAAGTTCTCTGGCCTGGGTCAGATTAGATGATCACAATGGTCCCTTCTGGCCTTGGATTCTATAAAATCACCATGAGTGGAAACTGTTGCAGGGAGGAACGCAAACTGGTGAACAATCTTAAAACACTGTTCCTGCATATGTCTTCATGCCCTTGGGTCATAGCGTGCATTTTACAAGTGATTTAATGGGCTGACCAGAGCATACTCCGTCTGGTTACAATTATGGGGAGCAAGACTGACTGTATCAAATAGGTTCTGATTTTCAGTTCTGCTAGAAATCAGGTGCCACACTGACTGTCCCAGGAAGGGCTGATGATTCCATGATTGATTAAAAAAATAGAAAGTGGAAGGGCAGAGGAGAGGGACTCTCTCTCTACTTGTCCGCTATGGCCACATTCAGATTAAAGTGATGACGATTTAAACACTTAAAGGGCAGAACTGGATAATACAACCAATAGCAGCAGCATCACCTTCCTTGTAAGTGAACTCTGCAACATGCTGTGAACACGTAACCCACTGGAACACAGGAGAGCTGTCACTGCTCCTGCCATGTAGTTACGGTCCAACACTCCTTCCCCTGTAGATTATGAGCCGGTGCACATGCCCACTTTTTGCAGCAGTGTTTTCCCTCAGGAAATCCCCACCTGCCAGGGCTGCTGCGATTTTACTAGCTCATGTGTTGGCTCCTTTCTTCACTGTGAAATGGCCACACACATGCACAAAAGGAGACTTTTGCTTGACATGAGAGGACATCAGTGAGGGTAAAATAGAGAGAGGGGCACTGAGATGTGTAACAAATTCCACCCCACACTTACAGTTCTTTCTCCAGCTGCTGCTGAATAAGCTTGGCCGATTTTGCCATCGTGATATCTAGAAAAAAAGTGGTTTAAAAAAGTTACACTTGGAACATCATCATTTTCTTTCCAAGACATGGAAAAGCGGGCTCCGTGTGGGGATGAACGCTCAGTGACAAGACCCCATCGCTATAATACTATCGCCTGGTATTTTAACCAGGGGCCCCATGCGAATTAAAGCTGGCTGGAGTTACAGTCAACAGCAAGACCCCCTACTTTCTGTGGCAGCCCAGTGTGGCAAACTGGGAATTCTGCAGCTGCCTCAGGTAGAATACAAAATGGTAGTGTTTGTTTGAATTACATATGGAAGTGAACACCACAGCCAGGACAGATTCCCTTGTGTTATTTAGATATTAAATTACACTGACTTCACGTGCCTGAGCTTTCAGTGTGCTGCAGGCGTCTGTCTATTGGAGACATAATTTTGCAGGACAACTAATGCTGACATTCAAATTGCTTCTCGGTTTCAGAGGCAACACTGCATAATGCACAGAGGCAGCTGACACTGCTCTTGGGGCTACTGTTTTATGCTGTTTGCAGACTCAGGAAGACAACTCTGCAGGGATTTACACTCCATTCACCTTTGGAAAATTATCTTCCCTACCTCAATGGCTCGCTGATAAGCTGTCTCTCCCCGGGTAACTCCCATGCAGTTGGGATCATCAAAGCACCAGAGCCCCTAGCATAACCAGGAGAAGCAGGGCTGGTGATAGCGTTCTTGCCTAGAGCTCTTTGACTCTGGAATTAGTTTCCTACCCTACTTTGGTGGGGCCCAAACTTGGAAAAAACTCAATAGAACACAGCAGGTTTTTCTATGTGGTCCTGTCAAAGGGCATGCCTGCTCTTTAGCACTCCTGCTGAAGCCTGCCTCCGTTTCCCCTTCACTCAAGGCTCCTTAAAACATCCACACAAGCCAGATATTCAAACATTCCAATTTATTAAGTCCTGCACAAAGGTCTTTCAATACAGAACTCAAACTTACACAGCCAAGTTGTGGACTGAGGCTGGGCCCAGTCCAAAGCTGGGCCCAGCCTCTCCTCCCTGAAGGTCTTCCTGCTCTCCCAGCACCTCTTGACTGGAGTTTGGCCTTTTTCACAAGCCTTCTGTTCTAACTCAGGAGCCTTCTTACTCTGCACTGTCTGCAGGCACCTGTCAACCCATCTCCTCCTTTATAAGGCCTAGGTGCCTTCTCTTAGCCCAACTGAGCAGCAGGAGTTGTGGACCAAGTCCCACTTAAAGAGCAAGTCACCCTGTGATAGGTCCCCCCCTTTTTGGCCACCCAACACCCATGTCAGGCAAGAAAAGAGGTACCAGAACACCGCAAACTCTGAGCTAACCCAGAAAGACTTGGCCTATTGAACATCCAGCCCCCAGGCCCTTGGGGCTGTAGTTTGCCAATCAATGAACAGTACCTTGCTTGTTGCAGGCTATCAGCAGTGGCAGAGCGTTTTTCAGCACAGTGCAGTCAGTCAGGACCTGGTACAGGAACTCTGCCACATCCTTCACCTCCCGCTGGAACGCTACGCTGTCCACGACAAACACGATCGCTCTGTGCAAAAGAGAGTGAACACAACATAGCCATGTGACTGGCAGGCTCAGACTGCCACGCAGCCCACACCCCAAGTCCTCATTCCCAGAGGGTTTTTCCCCCAAGTGGATTGTCACATGATCACTCAGCACGCTTTTATTTTGGAGTCGTTCAGAGCACTCCTGACAGAGGAAGGGGTCAGCACAGGCCAAGCCTTCCCACACACCTCTGCCAATTCACTTTAGCTCTGTCCAGAGTTGGGCGATCAACGGACTTTTCTGTTCACTGGCAATGCCAGAAAAGTCAGAAAAAAAATCATTTCAGCTGGAACAAAGCCGCTCAGCTGGCTCAGTTCACATCTGTGAAGTTCGAAACATAATATGAAAGAAAATTGCAAATCGGAACAAAACCAAAATTGTTTGTTTTGTTCAAATCACATCATTTCGTTTAGATCCTCCCTCCCCCCGACTGAAACAATTTGGCACATTGGACCCAGACTGTCACCACACTCCAGGGGCTGCTGAGTCTGCAATTTTTGCCAGAAAGTTTCCGTCAAAAAGTTGCACCCAGCTCTAGTCCTGACCTGCAGCACCAACGTCACTGTGACGGGTTCAGTCACAGAGACCCCCTTGGGACTGTTACCTGATGTGCTGAAACTACCTCTGAGCCTGTTTTCCCTGCCAGCTTGGGACTCCAGAATCCTGCCTTGTTGAGCCAGACATGCTACTCTGCTACAACACAGACCCAGGTCTGGTCCACGCCCTCCAAGCTGCATACTCTGACCAAAAACTGCTCAGCAAGTTACCTATCTTCAGCACCCAGACACCCAGTTCCCAATGGGATCCAAACCCCAAATAAATCCGCTTTACTCTGTATAAAGCTTATACAGGGTAAACTCATAAATTGTCCGCCCTCTATAACACTGATAGAGAGATATGCACAGCTGTTTGCTCCCCCAGGTATTAATCACTTACTCTGGGTTAATTAATAAACAAAAATGATTTTATTCAGTATAAAAGTAGGATTTAAGTGGTTTCAAGTAATAATAGACAGAACAAAGTCAGTCACCAAGCAAACTAAAACAAAACACACAGGTCTAAGCCTAATACATTAAGAAACTGATTTAAGATAAAATCTCACCCTCAGAGATGTTCTAATAAGCTTCTTTTACAGACTAGACTCCTTCCTAGTCTGAGCCCAATCCTTTCCCCTGGTACAGTTCTTGTTAGTTCCAGCTCAAGTGGTAACTAGGGAATTTCTCATGACTGGCAGCCCCCTTTGTTCTGTTCCACCCCCTTTTATAACTTTGGCACAAGGTGGGAATCCTTTGTCTCTCTCTGGGTTCCCACCCCTCCTTCTAAATGGAAAAGCACCGGGTTTAAGATTCCAGTACCAGGTGACATGGTCACATGTTCTGTGAGACCCCAAGACTCCATTCTTCCAAGCCTGACTCACAGGAACACAGGAAGGCTTACAAGTAAGCACAGCCATTTACAACCAATTGTCCTAGTTAATGGGAGCCATCAAGATTCCAAACCACCATTAATGGCCCACAGTTTGCATAGGTACAATAGGACCCCAGAGTTATACTTCATATTTCTAGCTTTAGATACAAGAATAATACATTCATACAAATAGGATGAACACACTCAGTAGATTATAAGCTTTGTAATGATACCTTACAATAGCCCTTTGGCATAAAGCATATTCCAGTTACATTATATTTACACTCATAAGCATATTTCCATAAACATATGGAGAGCAACATCACACTCACTTCCATGAGGCCCCACACAGGATGCACCTAAATCTGGACCGGGGACGCCCTTCTTGAGCTGTGCTGAGCGCTCTCCTGGGAAAGTCCTCAAGCCAGAGATGGAGAGAGGCACCAAGGTAAGTTCACCTCCCATTACTCTCCAGAACAGTCTCTTGTAATACTTCCTGACTGTCCAATCCAGCCCACTTCTAAGCAGAAGTGGCCTACTGTGCTAGCAGGTACGAGAATAACATTATCAAATGTGTTTTCACTCTTGACCATGCCACAGTTGAACCCAGAAGCAGGTGATAGGCTGGTACATCAACTAACTGCCCCATCTTCCCCCTCAGGCTGGAGCCAGGCCCATACAGCTGGGCAGACTGAGTGCAGTCCTGTTACCACCCACGGAAGGTTGCTGCAAACAGAGCGTGACGGGGCCTCTCTGCCCCACCAGGGCAATGATGGGGTTCAGGAGAGTCTGTGGATCCACTGGACCTCACCCTGCTTCACCTGCAGCCAATGTCAGGTGGGGAGAGGGGAATTAAAATGGGGAACCTCAGGGTGGATTTGATTTAAATCACTAGTCAGGAAGACTCGATTAAATCATGGTTTTCTACATAAAAATGCATTCTTGTTGGTTGTTATAACCTTAATACATATTCTTCACAACTCAGAGATAGATGTAGGTTTCATTTTTAGAAGGTACACACTATAGATTTTTAAACAGTGATTTATTTTGAAAACTTTTCAGATTAGTTTTACAGCTATATCAGAAAGTGAATGATTGTTTGGTTATTTCATTTACCAAAGGTAATTGAAGCAGATATTAATGAAGTCATTGGGAGGTGAACTATCTCCAATTCAACAGGTTAATCATTAATATTTGGAGGATTTTCTTGCCATGCTGTATTAGGAGTAGAACATCACCATATAGACATTTAAATTGTTTTATTTAACTAAAACAACAACGTTAAGTATTCTGGATATTTTTCTTCAACAGCAAACTTGTAATATTTTAACAAAACAAGCATATGTCCCTCGCTTCTCAAATTTATCTCCAGACTTCTTCTCTTTCTCCAGATCTATTCCGCCCCCAACAATCTTCTATTCATTGAACTTTTTGAAACTTTGCACTTTTACAGAGAAGTAAGGGATTGACTCTGTGTACAAAAATTTGCCAGAGGGACAATAGAGTTGAGGGCTGTTATTTCTCACCTCTATTTATTATTTATTTATTTAAAAACATTTTTGCTGTTAACAAGCATGTTACCTAGAAGACACAAATCCACAGTTTGAGAACTGCAAAACTAAGCATCTATGATGGTATCTTCTAGACTGAGCACTGTGTCCCATTGGGTGGATAGAAAGATTATTTAGGTTAATCTATACAGAAGCCCCTGGAACCCCATAAAATTGGGTCCTTAATCCATGAACTATTGGAACTCATTTACAAAATTTTCTTAAACATTAATATATTGTCTCATCCTATAGAATTAGAATTTATAATCCCTATTCCACAACGAGATATCTTTGATCTACAATGTATCTTAATTAAAACTATCTCTAGATAGGTTTTTTTCCCCTCAAAAAGCATTTTATCAAAAAAATCCGATTTAAATTTAAAAAAATCCATTTTTTTTTTTTTTAAACCATTGATTTTTATCCACCCTGGGAAACCTGGCCCAACTCGGGGCTCTGCTATTTCCTGGACGAGGTATGCCTGACTCCAGCCAAAAGCATAAGGCAGCTTGCTGCTTGGATGAGCCATGTGGTGGGTGGGACTGACAAGGGGATTAGCAACCCGAAACAAGCCCAGGGCAGATGGGCGGAATGCTCCCAATACACCCATTCTGAAGTCAGACGTTTTCCTTTTCGTTCTGGACACTGACGTCCCCGAATGGGGTAGAACTTGAACATGCCATAGCCGGAGGGCTAAAGCACCATGACCCCTAATCTGCGAGGACCTGCAGTGTGGCAAGCTGTGCCCAGAGAGGCCCCAAGGGGGCGCCACCCAGACAACCTAGTTACAGTGAGCAACCATCTAATTTGCATTTCTGTACATGCAAGTTAGCTCTTAGCCTTGCTGAACTGTGGGGCTCTGTGGCTAAAGGTTATCGTGAGTGCTAACATCATGTCCCATCCACTGAATAAGAAGGGTCAAAGGAGAAAACTTCCTTTTTGGACTTGTGACCTTCCTGAGTCATTAGGATCCTGAGTTCTCAGTATCTTTCTCCATTAGAATCTACATGGGTGGTTTCAGAAGTTAAAATTGCAACAAATGATCTATGGGTTTCCCAGCCTCACAGTCCCAGCAAAAGCTTGTATTTCTAAATAAGCATTATCCCACTCTTGACCACAATCTCAGACTGGGACAAGTAAAACACATCCCACCCAGCAAGAAGCCATTAGCTCTTAACTCGGTATCTTGTCTTTGAGAGCAGGTTTCCCAGAGGAGTGACAGAAAGAAATGCTCCCTTACTAGGGCAATCTTTGTACTATGCATAATGGGAAGCACAAGCCCATCATAGAAGAGGAGGTAGGAGGCCTGGACACTTTAATGAAAATTTAACCAAAGTTACAAACAAGCAAGCAATTATACTAGTTCTGTGGCTGACATGAACAGCAATCAATGAACCTTCATTTAGGGCTTCTCCTTGCTACTGCTGGGGATTAGGGCTCGAGAGGAAGTGGGCCTGCAGGCTGGATGTGGGACACCAGAGAGAATGAGATTTCTTTCTTGGCAGCATTGTTTAGGATTACAATTACCACCAAATCTCATGCCTGAGCAAGCCTGGATTTAACACCAGGGAGCCAAGAGGGTAAGAATGCATTTTGACAGGCTGAGGTGACGGACTAGTAGAATTCCTTTTCTGAACGGCTGCAACAGACAATACTGTTAGAATATAGATATTCAGGCCTGCCTGTAAAGACCTATACTTTAAGAACTTAGGTGTATTTTTACCACTTTGTTTTTATACCCCTGTAACTAGCTAAGAATCAAAATCACAGTCCTCCTGTGTATGGGCCTTCTCTCACTAGGATAGTTTGAGGCCTTGTTCTTAGGCTAAGGTCTTTGGCTAAGCAGCAGAGGCAGCCATAAAAGCTGTGAAGCATACGGTCACATCCTCACATCCCAAACCAGTCACATTGAAATAAGGTGGTATTGGGCTATTAGGAAGACAATCCTGTCCTGATAGTGCCTGTCATAAACATACAGCTAAGGGTAGCATAAAATCCCTCCTTACCCTGTAAAGGGTTAATCCCTCCTTTAGCTGTAAAGGGTTAAGAAGTTCAAATGACCTGGTTGGCACCTGACCAAAAAGACCAATAAGGGGAGAAGATACTTTCAAATCTGTGGGGGAAGGTTTTTGTTTTGTGTTCCTTTGTGTTCTCTTTGGGTCAGCGAGGAACCAGGGCAGGGAAAATACATCTCCCTAAGCCATATTTGAACTAAGCATCTAATATTACAGAAATAGGAAGTAATAGCAAGGAAATGCGTTAGGTTTTGTTTTAAAATCTTTTGTTTTAGCTTGTGAATTTTCCCTGTGCTAAGAGGGAGGTTTATCCCTGTTTTTGTAACTTTAAAGTTTTGCCTAGAGGGGAAATCCTCTGTGTTTTGAATCTGATTACCCTATAAATTACCTTCCATCCTGATTTTACAGAGGTGCTTCTTTTACTTTTTCTTTATAATAAAGCTCTGTTTTTTAAGAATCTGATTGGGGTTTTAGTGTCCTAAAAACCCAAGGGTCTGATCTGTGCTCACCTTGGTTACTCTCAAGCCTCCCCAGGAAAGGGGAGGAGCTTGGGGGGAGTATTTGCGGGAAACAGGAATTCCAAGTGGTCCTTTTCCTGAATCTTTGTCTAACTCACTTGGTGGTGGCAGCATACTGTCCAAGGGCAAGGAAGAATTTGTGCCTTGGGGAAGTTTTTAACTTAAGCTGGTAGAAATAAGCTTAGGGGGTCTTTCATGTGGGTCCCCACAACTGTACCCTAGAGTTCAGAGTGGGGAGGGAACCCTGACAGTGCCCATCACCACCAGATAAAGGAACAGATCTTAAGATGGCTAAAGAAAACTTAGTTTTATAGCATCCTGTCTGGCAAGAAACCACGTATCAATGGTTGTGGCTGTGAAACCCTCATTTCTGTATGGTTTTATCTTTATGGCTCCCTCTTTTCTATAGTTAATCTGTCTGGTTCTCTAATTGTTTCTGTCTGCTGTATAATTAATTTTGCTAGGTGTAAGTTAATTAGGGTAGTGGGATATAATAGGTTAGAGAATTATGCTACAATATGTTAGGACTGGTTAGTTAAATTTCAGTAAAATGACTGGTTAAGATAATATTACTGTGTGGGTGCCTCAGTATGAGAATATTACTATATAAACTGGGGTCAAACAGGAGGTGGAGGGGAAATTGGAATCATGCTTGCTAAGGTGGGGGAACAGGGAATAGGGAATGGGGAACAGGGACACAGGCAAGGCTCTGCAGCATCAGAGCTGGGAAGGGGGACACGGGGTAAATACTCTGCGGCATCAGAGCTGGGAAGGGGGACACGGGGTAAATGCTCTGCGGCATCAGAGCTGGGAACGGAACATTGGGAAACCGACTATCAGAGATACACCCAACTGGTGTGAAGGGCTTCGGAATATGCTTGCTTGGAAACTAACCCCAATAAACATTGCATTGTCTGCACTTCAGATGTCTCGTCTTTTGCTGCTTGCTGTCTGTCACGGAGTGTGGTGGAGTCAGGGCCCTGCACCCCCCACTTCCTGCAATTCACCGTGACTCTCAGCCAGCCAGTAAAACAGAAGGTTTATTAGACAACAGGAGCAGAGGCCAAAACAGAGCCTGTAGGTACAGAAAACAGGACCCCTCAGTCAGGTCCATCTTGGGAGAGTAGGGAGCCCAGACCCCAGTGCTGGGCCTCCCTCAGTTTCCCCAGCCAGCTCCAAACTGAGACTCCCTCCAGCCCCTCCTCTGGCCTTTGTCTCTTTCCCAGGGCCAGGAGGCCACCTGATCTCTTTGTTCTCCAACACCTTCAGTTGGCACCTTGCAGGGAAGGGGCCCAGGCCATCAGTTGCCAGGAGACAGGATGTCGGCCATTCTCTGTGCAGACTGCATCACCCCTGCCCTCTAGGGCTCTACAACAATCACACACCCTGATCCCCCCACCTAGATACTTAAGAAATGCATAGGGAAAACTGAGGCACCCACACAGTATTCAGAGAAAACATTAAGAACAGTCCCGCTTCATCACACTGTCTGCATGACAAGAACCAGGGAAGTGGGAGGGTGAAGGGAAAGCCCTCTAACAAATACCATCAAGGGCAGAGGGTTTAGTGCATCAGCAATTGGTTCTTGTGTTCAGAACACTTCCCAAGTCAAAGCCATGTTTTGGCCTGACCTCTGGAGGCCCTATTTTTACAACAGACAGCCATTTGCTACATCTGGTGATCTGCTCACAAATGAGCCAGAACTGGAAAGCTGCAGATCGCGATTGAGGTGTACTGGCAGAGGCTCAGGTCTGGAACACTTGGGGCAGATTAGCAACATGAATGCAGCATTGGCTACGCTCAGGGGAAGAGAGCTTGCCCACCCCCTGCTAACACTATGGTATGGATGGCTCAGCCACTCCCATCAGTTATCAGCGGATATCAACCCCACCAAAGAGATCCCGACAGCCCTCCCAGTGACTAACATTAATTTTGAAATATAAAAGAGTAATTCATTTCCCAAAGCAACCTTAGCCTGAACCCAAGCCACTATCTGAGGCTGTGGAGCTGGACACAGAGAGAAGTACAGGATTTAACTAGAACGGGAAAGATTTTAAAAACGGGGAGAAGTCCCAAGGTGCAGGGATTGTACTAGCTTGGGGTGCTGAAGATCCACTCTTAAAGCGCAATTGTGCCCCCTCCCCTAAAAAAAAAAAAAAAAAATCTTGGTGTGTTCACTTTCCTGGTGCTATTTAAGAAAGCTGATATCAAAAATCCAGCAAAGAACTGCCTTCAGCTCTCCCTATACTGCCCTCTGGGGCAAGTCCCCTGAACTAAGAGTTGCTCCATTATATAGAAGTTTGGAATATGTTGAATAAAATGTTGGGAATGCAATTCTGCTAAATCCTACCTGCATGCTCTGTCTGTACAATGGGGCCAGGCAACTATGTTATCCTTGCTGCCACACTGTAAGCTTTGCAGGGTTTGACATGAACAGCACTGGCATGGAAGGCCTCCAAGGAAAGTCTAGGCGCTGCACAAGCGACCTTGTTGACTCAGTACCATAGGTGACTTTCTGCTCAAGGCAGCACAGAACTCCTGCCCCAATCAGCATGGGTCAGTGTGCTGGACAGGTGGGGGTGCTGCCTTACCAGGGATACCAGTGTGACGTTTGCTTATCATGGTATGAAGCAACACCTGCAACGTGCAGACAGAGTTGAGTGGAAACCTCCTTCTACTCTCTCCAGAAATGCACACACTAGTTCCATGCGCATTTCCTATTGCCTTCTACCACCCTCTTCCCGCACCCCTCCCTCAAGCTGGCATGGCAGAGCAGTTCCGGGGAATGGAAGGGTGGAGGAAATGAAGGAGGTTGCACATTGGTTTTTGACCTTATAACACAGGGCACAAGAGAACAGCTTTATAGGGGCTCCATATTTGCTCGAATCTCTCTCAACTCACTCCCCAACCCAGCCTTCATATCATAATTTGGCCTCTATCCATTTACAGACTGAAGCATCTATTTCCTCCAGTCTTCAACCACTTACCTAGCTGTAGCTTTGAACTTCTCCAAGAACTGAAGTCGCAAGCTCTCATGGCCTGGGAGGTCAATCAGCGTCACACTAGAGCCCTGTAAATAGACCAGAAGAAGTAACAATTCCATCAATATTCAATCCACAAATATGCATGATCATGCAGGTCTGCATAATAAAATATGTAACAAGATACACAACAGTTCATATTCTACAGACAGCCATGGCCTACACAGCAAACAAGACTGCTTTGCAGTTCCCCAACCCCTTCTGGTATCATCATTTCTCCTACAGCAGGGTTCTCAAACTCAAATGACCATGAGGGCCACATGAGTACTAGTACATTGGCCCGAGGGCTGCATTTACTGACGCCTCCGCCCCGCCCCCACTCCACCCCTTCCATGAGGCCCCGCCCCTGCCCCGCCTCTTCCCACCCCTTCCCTGCCCCCATTCCAACCCCTTCCCTGAAATCCCCACCCCAACTCCACCCCCTCCCTGCCCCCAGAGGGTGCAGGAGGGATGTGATACAGGTGAGCAATCGTTTCCATGTTCTCTCTACAGGTACTAATGTGGAGAGTGGACTAGATGACCCATCTGAGGGAAGGGAGCAGAAGGAGACTCCACCGATTGGAAGGCAAAAGAAGCCCTGAGGTAAGTGGGGAAATGGGATCCTGGGAGGAAGCACAAGCAGGAGAGCGCAAGAGAGGAGGACTCCTGTCTCATGCTGAGAAAGAGGGACGATCAATGAGTTATCTTAAGTGCCTATACACAAATGCAAGAAGCCTGGGAAACAAGCAGGGAGAACTGGAAGTCCTGGCACAGTCAGGGAACTATGATGCGATTGGAATAACATAGACTTGGTGGGATAACTCACATGACTGGAGTACTATCATGAATGGATATAAACTGTTCAGGAAGGACAGGCAGGGCAGAATAGGTGGGGGAGTTGCGTTGTATGTAAGAGAGGAGTATGACTGCTCAGCGCTTCGGTATGAAACTGCAGAAAAACCTGAGAGTCTCTGGATAAAGTTGAGAAGTGTGAGCAACAAGGGTGATGTCGTGGTTGGAGTCTGCTATAGACCACCAGACCAGGGGGATGAGGTGGATGAGGCTTTCTTCTGGCAACTAGCAGAAGTTGCTAGATCGCAGGCTCTGGTTCTCATGGGAGACTTTAATCATCCTGATATCTGCTGGGAGAGCAATACAGCAATGCACAGAC